GTACAATATGGCTCTGGTAGACACAGGAGATGAATGCTCACTGATTTATGGTAACCCTGAGTGGTTTTCCAAGGCACACACTATTATAGATGGATACAGAGAGAAATCTTGTTGAGAATAGGGCATTTACCCCCAAAGGAGTAATATGTGTATATATCCCCATCCCCAAATATATTTTGGGGATAGATATCCTGCAGGGCCTATGGTTACAGACCACTACAGATAAACTCAGATTAAGCTCAGACTATGTGTGGTGAAGGCAGTTCTGAGACCTGCTAAGCACCCTCCTGTAGCTTTGCCTTTGCCTCAGCAGGTGACTAATACCAGACAATACAAATTGCCTGGAAGGCATGAAGAAATTGGAGAAACCCTCCATGAACTGGAAAAGGTGGGTATTATAAAGCCCACCCATAGCCCTTTTAATTCCCCAGTGTGGCCAGTAAAAACCAGATGGCTCCTGGCAGATGACTGTGGATTACAGAGAACTGAATAAAGTCATACCCCTCTGCATGCTGCCATCCCCTCTATTGCAGGTCTTATGGACACCCTCAGTTATTAACTAGGGACATATCATTATGTTGTGGATCTTGCTAATGCCTTCTCTTCTATTGACATAGTAAAGGAAAATCAGGACCAGTCTGCCTTCACGTGGGAAGGACAGCTATGCACTTTCACTGTCCTTCCATGGGGTGCCTTCACAGTCCCACCATCTGTCAGGGACTTGTAGCTCAGGACTTGGTGGCATGGGAGAAACCACCAATGGTGTGGCTGTATCATTATATTGATGATACCATGCTTACTTCTGATTCTCTATCAGATCTAGAAGGTGCAGCACCTAGACTGCTGCAACATCTGCAAGAGAAAAGATGGGATGTGGACAGCACCAAGGTTCAGGGTCCTGGTTTGTCAGTCAAATTCTTGGGGGTAGTCCGGTTGGGTAACACTAAAGTTAATCCAGAAGCAGTCATAGATAAAGTCCAGGACTTCCCTATCCCTGTAACTGTGGCATTATTACAAGTATTTGTGTGTCTTTTAAGCTGCTGGAGAACATTTACCTCCTGCACTTGGCACAAATTCTGAAGCCCTTATACTATTTGGTATGAAAGGGTATCAGGTGAGACTGGGATGAGACATATGCATTTGCTTTCCCCACTGAGAAAAGGGCAGTTCAGGCTATGCAGGCCTTGAGTGTGATAGACCCATCAAGGTGCTTTGAACTGGATATTCATGTAACAAAAAAGATGGCTATGGTAGGGGCTTGAATAGACATGTTAACCTATTGGATTTTAGTCACAACTCTGGAAAGGAGAAGTACAGTACACCTTAATAGAAAAGCAATTGGCTGCCATGTACCATGCCTTGCTAGCTAGCTACAGAGCCCATCACCAGGATGGCCCCAGTGAAGGTAATAACCACCTACCCCATCACAGATGAATAGAAGACTGGACCCAAAAGCCATGGAGTGGCATGGCATAGATGCCTACACTGGTCAACTGGGGTGCATACCTACAGCAGAGGATTGCTCACTCTAGCCCCTTAAATGAAGAACTTCAATGCTTGTTGGGGCTAGTGACACACACCAGTGAAAGGCAGGAAGAATTTGCTTTAGAGCCATTTGTAGCAGAGAGCCCTTACTGGGAGAGAAGAGCCCTGATACCCGAATATGCATGATGCACAGATGGCTCCAGGCAAGGGAAGCCCTGAAATGGAGGGATGTAGCTTTCCATCCTAAGACTGAGACAGTTGGATGGAAGATGGTGGGGAAGAGCAGTTAATGGGCAGAGTTGCAGGCAGTGTAGCTTGTAATCACCCAGGAACCCTCCCCAGTAGTTGTTTGCACTGACAGCTGGGGCATCTATTGGGGCTTGACCCTGTGGCTACAAACATGGTACCATGCCAACTGGCTGGTTGTTCACTGACCCCTTTGGGGGCAAGAATTGTGTCAATTCTTATGGGCCTATGGTCAGACTAAAACAGTTACAGTGTATCATGTGACAGGCCATTTACCACTGGCATCCCCAGGAAATGATGGAGCAGATGAATTGGCCGAGGTATGTTGGCTAGAAGGAAAGCCTACATCTGATGTGGTTCAGTGGTTACATCATCATTTGCTGCATGTGGGGCAAAAGACAATGTGTAGGACCTGTCTTTAACCTTTGAAGAAGTCAGCAGAGCCCAGCAGGAGTGCATTGTATACTCTAAAAGAGACTTCACCAAGTCCCACAGTAACATGGGATGAAGTTAAGGGATTGATGCCCTCATCAGGTGGCAGATAGACTATACTGGGAGTTTGCCAGAAGGGTATCGATATATCATGACCTGTGTGGACACAGCGAGTGGACTTTTAGTTTCTTTTCCTGCATGTTGTGCAGACCAGCGAATGACCAAAAGAGGCCTAGAGCATCTCTTTGCAGCCTATGGCTGATTGCAGGTAACAGAGTGATCAAGGTATCCACTTTACTGGACATGCACTACAAGAATAAGTGAAACAATTAGGGATAAAGTGGAAGTTTCATGTACTGTATAATCCTGGGGAAGGTATGATAGAGAGGTACAGTGGTTTGTTAAAATCTGGTCTGAAGTCAGACACCACTGGTCTAGCCTGCTTATGGACAGTAACAGCATTTGAATGAGAAGCCCTGGAAAGGGACATTGAGCCCTGTAGACATGCTAACACCACTGCTACCTCCCCTATACAACTGCAAGTACAAATCAAGGAGGAATCATTGAAGCTTGGAGTTTGGCCACCAAAATAATATCTTGCTATGAGCACTTACTGTGATAAATCCCAGAGACTCCATTCAGTGGACTTGGCCTTGGGTGTTGTGACACATGGATCAGTAATGTCTGGCCCTCCTAGGACCTTGAGGACAAGGCCTGGAGGTTAACCTCCTATGTATTCCTGGTTTAATGGCAGAGTTGTCCCCAAACATCACAGTAGTGTACCCTAAATGGCCGGAAGGTAAGAGCATCTTACCGGGAAGTTTTATCTTTATGGCCAGTGAATGTACCTCCAGTAGCACTATACATGGACCCCTCAGTAACCTCCATAGGGATGGGATAAAACTATGGTATACAAGACCTGGGTGGGACCCCCTTCCTGCCACAGTCCTATCATAGGACAACTCTCTTGCATGCATCTCACTTGATGGACAACATTTGCCTATTTCAGTATCTTAAAACATATGTCTTACTGCACTTAAGGTTAATCTCCTCTAATGTCTTTGTGGATTGTGTACACACCCTAGCAAAAACTGCAACTTACTGGGTGTGCAAGCAGCTCCCTATCAGTTCCTCTACTGGCCTCCTGTAGAAAGTGTGAATCACGAACTGGGACTCATTTAAATACAGCTGGCTTGATCACGTAGTGGCAATCGATCTCAGACTTGAGGATTACTGTAATTTTTGTTATCTGTATCATAATTTTCATTGTTATCTATAAGTTGCTGTTTTCCTCTGTTGCTGTTGTGGAATTTGGTTACAATGCTCCAGTTTTCTCTCACAGGGACCATTAAGGAAGATTGAGGGCACATAGATTGTGAGGTGAGAATCCTGGAGGGGTGGAGTGTTGGGACAACGCAAGTTCCTATGGCCAGGATCCTCACCTGACCCTAAACTACTTGATGATGTAATTGGCCTGCTGTGTAGGCTAATGTGAATTACTCAATCCTTATCTTCATTTAGATTTTCTGGATTTCATCTGTCTTAATAGTGTTTTTCAGAACACATAGATTAGTATAAATATGGCATAGGCTTAGCCATAGGATGGTGAATTATTATTTATAAAATCCCTTTCAGAAATAAAATGAACACTAAGAAACTCTCCACATAACCCTGAAAATGTATAAATATTTTCATTAAAAATTTTTTTTCTCATTATAAAATTCTATAGTGCTTTATATGTATGTATTACATGTTGATGTTATGTATGTACTATTTTGAGCACAAATAAATCTTGCTGTGTCATATATGCAGTGAGTTCATTAAGACCACAGATGCAAAAGAATAATAGTTTCTGTGGTTTTCTTACTGTTGTTTTGCAAATTTTCTTATTTAGGCATTTTGAACTTGCGTAACTCCTGCCAATTGCAACCTGTTCTTAAGCTTTGATACTTTGTCTTCATTAGCTTCAGTTTTCTGCCTAGTAACAAAGTTTATTAGTCAAGCTAATAGCCATGAATTGTGGTTCCTTAATTGAAGCTTCAGATTCACTGGTTTTAATAAAAAAGCACACAGTCACTTCTTAAATCACTTTTAGATGTAGTTAACTTCTTCTAATAGTTTTTCTGTTGCTGTTGCTTCTTTTTTATCTTTGTAAGAAATTAATTAGTAGAAATTGACTCATTAAAAATAATGGTTGAATTTGCACCAGAGATAAACTAGAAAATATAAAACCTTGATATTCTTTTTGGGTGATATCATTTTAAAATGCTCTTCCACTAACCAGGATTAAGAAATTTGAGAAAGATTTTTATAATCCTTTTTTTCACTTTTTGAGATTAAATAGTAAAAAATGTAAGGAACAGCCAATTATTTAATTTCATGAAGACCTTAACGTGGCAATGTTTTCCTATTTTAATTCACTCTTTTGGTGTTATTAAGAAGTGTTTTTGTTGCAGATAGAATCATGTAGTTTTGAACTATTTTCAAAATCTCTTTTTGCTATAAATGAAAATTCTAAATATTAAGAAAAATGCTTTGCATATAAATGTATATATATATATATATATATCTCTATATAGATATATATATTTATATACACACACACACACACACATAGCCATTACAAATAAAAATATAAAAAATTTCAATTTTGATTGCCCAATATCTTGTCACCCCTTTGAAAAAGAGTGTTCTTCATTATGTGGCCAGTATTCCAAGTTGAATGTAAGTTTACTTGATAGTTACAGTTCTTGAACTCTGGTATAGTAAATTAGCTTCTAGAAAGCTACCCTGTATTTATTGGAGTTTAACAAAATTGTGATTTCTATACTACATAGGTACCAACAGGAAGCAACCCTTGGGAGAAGAAATCACAGCTGGGAACAATTAAGACTGATTAGTTTGTGGCAGAGAAACTCAAAATGGAAAGAAACTTCTCTTCGGGGAAATTAGGAGCTGCATTCCCAAGCATTTCTGAATTGAGTGCAATTCTCAGAGGAATGTAGGACTGTGGAAAAATGTGAATTTCAAATATTTGGAGGTTTTCTCAGCTTATTTAATGTCTGTATAACCACTATGTGTTGATTCTATTGGCTGTTTTGCAAGAAAAAAAAAAGTTCAAGTAAATAAGTTTTTTTCATATTTCCCCAAATTTATTTACTTCAAAGTTTCCCTAATATTTTCATTTGAGTTTATAGATAGAATATAGATGGTTCCATAACTTCTTACTATTCATTTTATAGAGATGGGGATAGCTGTGGTTTCTGAGGAGTTGGCAAAGCATATAAATAGCAGTTCTCTTGAAAAAAGTGCACATTATTGTGTATGAGATTGGTCTGAATTTTCTTTCAGAAATTGTAAAATAGACCACTTTAAAATTTAAAGCAAGAAATATGCAGAAATTTTATACATAATTTCTGAATCTGCTATCCTGGATAAATAATTGGTTTCTAAAGAGCTAGATAAAGATGTGCTGAATAAAGAAAATAAATGAAATGACAATGGAATGCATAGTTTATACCAGTTTCTTTTGCTTTATATTTGAATTATGGATATGCCTTAGAAGCATATTTCTTTTGACTAGGCTGAATTAGGTCACTAACAAATTATGAATATAAATTAAATAGAAGTTGTTTTCCTAGACAATTTTAGTAATCTACCACAGGTTCATTTATTTTCAATCCCATTCATCAGTTGGTGCTAACTTTGTTGTTTTATGTGGATAGATTTGTTAGTATATTGACCCTTCTAGAGCAGAAATATGATTTAATGTTAGGATGTTATAAGCAATAGGCATGCTATTTTTCTTTCTAAAACAGAGAGTTACATTTAAATATGGCAATATTTATATTTTATTTCCAAAGGGTAAGATAGCCAGTAAGTACTATATTATTTTCTTATGTATGTATTATATGTAATATGTTATTTTCTTTAACAGATAATGGGTTATTTTTTACATGTAATAATCTATTTGATGTGATATTCATCTGTATGTGGATTTTTCACCATAATCCTTTTTTTCCCTTCTCCTCCTGTTCCCCTCCCATACATTCCTTTCCTTTCTTCTCTTCCCTCCCTCCCTCCCTCCCTTCCATCTTTCCTTCCCTCTTCCTTTTCACTACTGGTTGTGCTTAAAGAGTGGTTATACTAATTCTGGATGCCAAACAACTGGATAACTTTAATATTACACATTTAGAAAAAGATTTATTATATTAACAAACATATAAATATATTAAGGGCAATACACTTTCTAGTTTGGGACAATTATTGGCTAAATTATAGGAAGTCATGGTAGAAAATTCAGCAATAACTGACCAGAGATTATATGAAAGGGAATCAGTGGCTGACTATTGCTACACTGCCAGAACTGGTAGTTCTTAACTTTTTATCATTTAAGTGTCATGAATTCTTTTATAAAGAACCCAAGTTTCAACACAAGAAACATAAAATCTCCTTTTTCCCAGTTGGATATATATATATATTTGCATGCATTTTAATGCCATTCAAAATAATATTTAAAACATAAATCACTGCATTAATGTTGGAGGTACATATTTTTGTCATTACAGATTTTACATCTGATAATATTGTATCTCGTGGACAGACAAATCACATTACTGTCATCAGTAAGTTAACAGAGCTACTACTAAGGAATGACTATTGCTTATAACACCCTAATATTATATCATATTTCTGCTCCAGAAGGCTCAAATTGTATCTTGTATAATAAGACACAATTAAAAATGGCCAGTAAACTGGGGATTGAGTAGTGTGGAATCATAAATAGAACCCCCAAAACCAACAGAAAGCCCAGAAAATGAGTTAAGCATAAGCTTCAATTTCCATGTTTGTCCCATATTATCCATGGCAGCAATATATTCCCTACTTGCAACTGGATATGGTTGTCAAGTTAGAAAGAATCCTAGGAATACTTAAGAAAGCAGTTGTCATCAGTGGGCTTCCAACTAAGATACAGATAATCTGGGAGTGTAAGAAAACTTTCCAAAGGGTACTAGCCAGGTGCTTTAAGGGACATTTTTCATATCTTCCATTTCATATGACCTCTTTTCTAAAATTAGTTGATAATAGCTTTCACACTAATTTTCTTTCATTTTTCTTTCAAAGGAAGCATCCCTTCTCATCCCAAATCTTTTATGGAGCTTTGGACCCCTTTGGGTACCTCTGTGGAAGCTTTAATGACTGACAAAGCACAAAAATCCTGTAAAGATATCCCTTTCCCTCTTAAACAAATTCTCTTAGGCATACAGCACGACATCAGAAAGTCAGGCATTGGTGTATAGGGGATCTTTATGGGATCTTCTGAACGCAGGTATTTGGCAGAGATGCACTAAGGAATTAATGGCTACATTTATCCAAAGTTTGTTTTTTTTGCTGTTTTTGTCTTCTTCCCTAGTATATAAAATGTATTACTTTGAAGATGATTCTCATGAAAATACAGCTAACTAAATATCAATTAGAAATAATGAGTAATAAAAAATTTTCCCCATATATGTAAAAATAAACTAGTTTTTCCCACTTTTCTCATCCCAAGTACTCATTCTTGGGAAGTTTTAAAAAATTACCTTCAAAGAGCCAATAAAACGGATTATTGACATTGACTTTTAAATTCTAACTGGGATATTTTCAAGGGCCACCAAGTTTTTCATGATTCATTGGCTAAAAGTCTAAGGCTATAATTCATTAACATTTGCTATGACTCATTAACATTCAAAATAAGTCACATTATGAAACATTTATTCCAATTATAACTAACCTTTATCTTATTTCACCTTATATAATATTTTTTATCACACACAAAGTCTGTATCATATACTAGGATCAGAGATGGATTCATTTTAATGGCATATGCCTTTCATTGGGTATACTTACAGAGTATAATAATGATGTATACAGTTAATTGAGTTCTTTCTGACTTTGATACTTATTATTTAATTCTTCTAACACGTGGATTTAGGACTTCAATGCTGTACATAAACATTTTTTCAAAGAGTTCCATGACTTATCTTCATCTTATAATTTTAGCTATATAGATCATGTTCATTTATATTATATCTCATTATAAAGTAAAGGAAAACTATATTTTTCTATTCATTTTCTAAAATTATAAATGCAGATAAAATAAACATTTGTTCTCACTAATCTTGATGAGACAACCTTTAGTAATCAATACTGCAAACTAACTTGTCTTTTATAGAAGGCAAGTCAGATATTGCCAATTAGGGTATGCTGTGGACATTTTCCATAAACGGAGTAAGCAAAATATGCCAGTTCAAGATCTGGCATATACTTAAAGCATGTTTTAGAAAAATTGATATGATTAAAAAGCTATCAGAAATACTGGATTAGAAAAAGTATACTGAAATGGACTATATTTTTGCTTTTTTCCAACCTTTCTGAGAATTCCAGGTATGTTGGGGGTCCTCAAGACCATTCCTAAGTTTGATGATTTAGTAGGAAAACTCACAGGACCCAGCACATAGGTTAAAAAAAAAAAAGGCACCCCTCAGCATATGTTATAAAAAAGGCATTCCAGTTAGGTGCCCTACCTAATTCTATGACCCCAAAGAATTATGGTCATAATTAACAGTTACTTGTTAAGTCTTGGTAAAGCTTTTCTGGACTACATCTTAGACATTGAGAAATTAAATCCTAGGTTCTGATCAACAGATCCTTTTGTATATCATGTGACCGTGAATTTCCTGCTTTCAACCCAATTGGGGGACAAAACATTTTAGCTGAGCTGTTAGCTAATATATTATTAAAATAATTGTTGATACTACATAAATGAGCGCCTTTGTTTATTTGTCATTCGTTCCAACATTTATTTAATAAATATTAATTACCATCTTATATGCTCTGATTATACTTGTGCCTTGGACAGAAATATTAAATGAGACACCATACCTATCCTAATGAGTTTGAAGTCTATTAGGAGAACCTATTACAACACAGTAAATGGTATGAGAAGTGCGTGTATGAACACGGGTTCATTAAGTGGGGTTACCTAAATCAGAACAGTTTTCTGAAGGAGTTGGTAGAGAATATGGGAAGAGATACGGCGAATTCAGGTTTGGATCTGGCTTTTTCAAAGATACTTATTTTAGCTGCAGCCGACCTCTCTAAAGGTTAAGATTTCACATGAAATGCCCCTTAAATGGGAAATGGATAAACTGCGGTTCGTCTGCAATGGAATATTAGCAAACAATAAAAAGGAACAGCCTACTAATACATGGAACAACATGAATGAGTTTCAAATGTGCTATGCTAAGCGAAGAAGCCAGATTCAAAAGTATATTTTCATTTATATGATATTCTGGAAAAGGCAAAATTGTGGAAACATAACACAGATCAGTAGTTGCCAGGGGCTTGGGAAGGAAGAGCTGACTTAAAGGTATGGGGGACTTTTTGGAGGTGACAGACTGTTCTACACTTTGGTAGTGGTTAGGTCTCAGAGGTGTCCACTAAGAAGGGTGATGATTGTCAAACATAACTTATACCTTTAGTTTTAAAAAAGGAAGTCACAGTTGTCATGACCTTGGTTGTGCTCCCACAGGTACAGCTGTGCATGTGCACACATACATGCCCTCCCACAAAACCGTGGGCCTCATTCCTTGCTCTTCCTGTTCCCTTACGGAAGGGTTCTCAGCAGAGCTTTTCAACAGGAGTGCTACTGGATTATATACAGGATGACTGTTCATTCATTAAGGCTGTAGTGTGCTTTGCAAGATATTTGGCAGCTCTGGCTAAATGGCAGGAGTACCCACTTACATTTCCTGAAGTCCCCTAGGGGATACATCTGCACCACAGGCAAAACCCACCTGCTGGACATGTTTTTCTCTGGACTTTCATATGAAGAGGTGTGAGTTCTCTAATTCATCAGTGAAGAAGAGAAGACTGGTGTATTTTGCTCACTCCTCCCTTTTTTTCAAAGTAGGAACTGCTGACCTGTAGAGAGGTATGTACTAGTTGGCTCTCTCCCATGAGTAATAGATTTGACTTTGCTTCTGGCCACATCTTGAGGTTGGGAAGTGTGAAAGGTAAATTCACATGAGTGTTGACAAACCATCTGTCAGTACATCTGCCTCATGTCCTCCAAGCTAGCTTTTGACAGTAAGAGAG